ATGAATCTGGTAATGATTATTTTTACTATAAATTTATAAAACGATTGACCGATAGGTGTTTGTATATTATGTAATAATCATTGCACATGCATCAAATGCTGTATTTTGGTAAGTAGGCCTACGTGACTCGATATGCGCGTGCTAATTTATAGAACTTATTTAATGAAATATTATGCGTGTACAGCATAATTATATGAATTTATTTAAATTATGTGTTTTAACGCATGTGCTGAGGGTGAAGCTGATTGAGCTAATATGACACCTGTTTATATATCGGGAGGGGGATTTGTATCAAACAAAAGGCTTTTTCCACGATTTACAGGAACGAGGGGTTCTTTTTTTGGGACTAGTACTTTTAGCAACCTCTCGTCATAGTTTGGAATTATCTTGCATATAAACATACCTGAAGACATGGTTTTAGCGCATGACTTCTGCATGTCGGCCTTCTGACATCATTTGATACCATCCATAACTTTAATCGTAATTTAACGTTACGAATTTTTAAGAAACACGTTTTAGACGGTAAATAACGTTATTTTACGTATTTCACAAAACGTCATTTAACGAAAGAATTTTCTAGAAATACATTTTTACGTTAAATAACGTTTTTCTTTATTTAACGTGCAAGATTAGTCGTACGAATTTTTGAGAAACGGGGTTCAGACGCTGATTACGGGTAAATACTTTAATAGGCCTGTCATCCACTTCCAAGATTTGGACAACAATGATAGGTTCGGTTGCCATGTTGCAAATGACTGGCCAAAGACAAGTGACTGCGCTTTTTAGAGGCGGGAAATTGAAAAAAGGGCTTTGGATTGGATAAAAAAGATCACGTGGTATTTATTTTTTAAACTTTTTTAATTCAACTTAAATCCATTAACTCTAACATATTGTCATTCATAAATCCTAAACATGTTTCGCCATCTTCAAAAGACAAATAAGGAAAATGGTGATGGGCCCAAGCATGGACTAAACGACCGTTTTCGGTCAGATAAGATTGGAACACCGATAAAGCATGGGATGACGGTACGTGGAATAATTCCCGCAGACAGCACTTTGATTTCCTTGAATCCTCCGGGTATTGTGACGTAAGGGTCCTTGACGCCGCGCAAAGTCGGCAAAATCTTGGCCATACACTTCTAGGGAACATCCAAACGAGGTTTTTCGAATCTCAATTCCAAAGACAAACTTCCTGACGACTTTGGATGAAAATTGACTTGATCAGCTCCGTGGTCATTGGTCAAATCAAATTCAAAGAGTGTGTAGCCTTTAATATAGTCGTTGTAAGACAAATGCAAAACTTCCTTAGTATTTAATATTCATAATCTTTTCAAATCAAATCTAAATAGGGAGTCGTGGCTTGTTGATGTGTAAAATGGGTGAAATATTCACCCACCACATCACCATTTTGGTTGCTGTCTTTCCAATTGGATGCGAACGTCGACCCCGACTACTAAAAAACACAAATCCATGTGTAGCCGGGATTGCATTTCAAACACTGAACTTTCACCCATCCTTTTTCTTCTGGCTCCCAACGCTTGGTTTACGACGGGTACGACAGCATCATCGGCACTGGTTTCAACGGCTTGTTGGTCGGTCGTGTCTTTATCCCACATCATTTGCTGATTTATGGAGTGCTGGAAACAAGCTGTAAAAGATAACCTCCCCCAAGTTGAAAAGGAAGTGCTGAAAGTCGACCGTGGCAAAGAAACCGTCAAGGGTGGATTAAAAAACATTCTACAAAACGCCGTCAAACCTGCTTTGAAATCTAGTAGTAAGCGAGTGATTATAGGTACCAGACGCTGATTGGCTGAGACGTATCACGTGACTAAATGTGACGTAGTAGTATAGGCGACCTTCTTAGAATAGCCTTCGACGAACTCGGTGACGCCTTTGACGGATTCTGGCTAACAGCTCTGGATCGATTCACCTTCGTCGCGGTGTCTCGTTCATCGCCGACTCTTCTAAAAGGTAGGTGTCCTCTGGTGTAATGATGACAGTTTTGCCATTGCGGGTAAATACTTTAATAGGCCTGTCATCCACTTCCAAGATTTGGACAACAATGATAGGTTCGGTTGCCATGTTGCAAATGACTGGCCAAAGACAAGTGACTGCGCTTTTTATAGGCGGGAAACTGGAAAAAGGGCTTTGGATTGGATAAAAAAGATCACGTGGTATTTATTTTTTAAACTTTAATTAATTCAACTTAAATCCATTAACTCTAACATATTGTCATTCATAAATCCTAAACATGTTTCGCCATCTTCAAAAGACAGACAAGGAAAATGGTGATGGGCCCAAGCATGGACTAAACGATCGTTTTCGGTCAGATCAGATTGGAACACCGATAAAGCATGGGGTGACGGTACGTGGAATTTATGCCACAAATAAAAGAAACAATAATGCCCGCAGACAGCACTATGATTTCCTTGAATCCTCCGGGTATTGTGACGTAAGGGTCCTTGACGCCGCGCAAAGTCGGCAAAATCTTGGCCATACACTTCTGGGGAACATCCAAACGAGTCGAAGAAATCACAATGGTCTTTTTCGCACACAAAAACTGTCCAATGTTTTCCAGGCTGGCCTGCGTCGTCGGTATTCACAACGTACGCTGAGGGATAGCGTGTTGGCTGTAAGGTTTGTAGTTGATTTCTGGCTAACACGCCTGCAAATTGTTCAGGGATGTGGCAGGCCAATACTTCCTCCAACTGTGAAGTATACAGAGGTTTACCAATCCACCAGAACTTGGCGGTTGACGTCGATTTCCAAGACATTATCGTATTCGGCAAATAATAGCAAATCGAGTGGATTTTGTGGAGTATTTTCGATTCCAAAGACAAACTTCCTGACGACTTGGGATGAAAATTGGCTTGATCAGCTCCGTGGTCATTGGTCAAATCAAATCCAAAGAGTGTGTAGCCTTTAATATAGTCGTTGTAAGACAAATGCAAATCTTCCTTAGTATTTAATATTCCAAATCTTTTCAAATCAAATCTAAATAGGGAGTCGTGGATTGTTGATGTGTAAAATGGGTGAAATATTCACCCACCACATCACCATTTTGGTTGCTGTCTTTCCAATTGGATGCTAACGTCGACCCCGTTCACTAAAAAACGATATTGTAAACACAAATTCATGTGCAGACGGGATTGCATTTTAAACACTGAACTTTCACCCATTCTTTTTCTTCTGGCTCCCAACGCTTGGTTTAAGACGGGTACGACAGCATCATCGGCACCGGTTTCAACGGCTTGTTGGTCGGTCGTGCCTTTCTCCCACATCACTTGCTGATTTATGGAGTGTTGGAAACAAGCTGTAAAAGATAACCTCCCCCAAGTTGGAAAGGAAGTGCTGAAAGTCGACCGTGACAAAGAAACCGTCAAGGGTGGATTAAAAAACATTCTACAAAGGGCCGTCAAACCTGCTTTGAAATCCAAGGGACAAACCAAGTGTTTTTTCGTTTTTATCTGCATAAAAGAGGGCAGCTTGATTGAAAGTGTCTTCATTTATAGTGATGTTACATACGAGACATTCTCCTACTCATTGTAGAGGCTATAGAAGGGTTGTTGGGCTATTTCAAAAATTTTGAATAACGTTAATTAAAAAGACAAGTTTTACATTTAGAAATTAGGATTAAGGGTCTTGATATTGGGTTTTCTTCTATTCTTATTCTGATCTGAAATTATAAAAAATAACTCGCGAAACATTACAATATGCACCCTTTGTAACTGAGATTTCCAGGCCACAGGCAGTCCTATTTATCTC